TTTGACTCGAATATTGTCATAAGTGCCTCTTTGTAGTGTATATTGAAATAAGATTATGAGCTCCATTCACGCCACCAATGAGGTAAAGCCCCCAATACATTTTGTTTTAAGTCGCATCCCTTGAAGGATGGTTACAGTTGAACTTACAAGGTGGAAAAATCAACAATATATAAAATTATTGCCAAATATTAGAAAATAAATTGCTTGTGAGTTCTTTATTGAAAAAGATTATAAATATACTGTCACGATTCATATAAATTCATATTTTTCCTAATTTTAATTAATTATTTAAATAACATCCTGTACATAAAACTTTGTTTAATTATGTCAACAATTTGTTTTAAATAGCAATAATGTGCAAGGTTGGTTATTTAATAATTATTAAACATTAGTTTTAATAACAATAAACGATGAGAAAGTTATAAAGGTAATGTCGAGGGGATGCACGAGGCTTTTTTCCACAGGGAACGGATCCTCCCCATAGGAGGTCCCCCTTGTAGGAGATTCTCTGTAGCAGCTCCAGCTTAGACCTTCATAGTCTAATTTAAAAGTCTATTTTGTATGTTGAAAAATTGCGTTTTAATAGTCGGGCAAGAGTTGTGACGTGTGCCCCAAATATTGATGAGTTGGTAAGTCTACGTTTTATGTATTGTGTACTTATTATTACTTATTATTATATTGAGCCCGTATTTGTGTATGTCGAGTTAAGACATATTTTGTATAACCGTTGTAATTTTAATATTATATTTGTTTTGAGAAAACATTGTGTTTCCTTCAGCCCATTCACAGAGACGTGTCAGGTTCTAACATCAAGAGTAGAACCCTTATACAGTTAAGGGCTACGAAGCAAAGTTTAAGGCTAAATAGTGTTAATGTGATTGAGTCCCAAATTCATATATTTTGTTATGTAACCCCCGGGACATAGATAGTCCCACAATTATTTAAAACACGTAAAACGTGACATTTGTTTTATAAAATCACGCATAACGTGACAATACATACATTAATATTTTAAAGAGCCAATACCAAACTTTGTCAAACTGACATAGTTTTTGGAATAACTAGAAATTAAAAACATTTAATGGAGCCTCAGAATGAAGTAGTCAATGAGCAGAAAAATCTGTGAAATTATCCATTTCTTAACTACTGATTCATTGCGAGTTTTCTTCTAGGAAATCCATTGAGTAATAGTTATGCACACAATGAAGTATAAATGTCACATCTACTTATTGGTGATCATTCATATAAGAAATAGTATTTTCATGTTATTGGTTTCAAATATTTAACATAAGTCGAGCAAACATATTATTGTAATTTAATTTTCACGAAACATTTGTTGATATTTTTATAGTTTACAGCTTACCTGTTCCTCTCTTGATTTTTCAAGGGCTTTTCAAAACAATATGATATGAATATAGGGTAATAAAATATTCGTAATTATCGAATAACCTGCCTGTTTTTATATTTTCATTATGCAAAGGCATGCAAGTTGTTTTGTTAAGTATTTAATGATTTAAACCTGGAAATACAGATAATCTTTAACATCCTGTAACTCCGTAATTTTTCAATTCAGACGTTAAGCTTGTTGTAATCGACACAACCAAGGCATTTTAAATCGACTTGGGTCTGATACCGTGTACCCTGTACCCTGTATACTCGTAATGATAAAATATAAAGCTAAAGACTGTCTGCATGCCTAAAGTTTTGCTTTTTTATATCTACTATGATAATACATAATTTTTCTGAAGATTCTCACAAAAAGTGATTACCCTGTATATTTTGTAACCTATGAGTTTTAGACGATTGATAGATTTTATTAGTAAATTCTAAATAGTGGTGAATATGCTAACAACCTTATAGGATATATAAACATGCTTACACTTGATTCATATATATAGATCTAGAAGGCTATGATTAAATATTTTCCGAATAATTGAACATATTGTTGACTTTTATAATAAATGACGTTTGTATTACTTTAAGCGAGCATTAGACCGTTCTGTATTAGTGTTTTAAATAAATATTGTTGCAAATATGGCGTTTGTAAATAGGATTAGCTGTTATGTTTGCAATAGACACTTTCAACACTCACTATTCGTTTAGACAAGGACAATAATATAGATGTGCTTAACATTGCTAATTTTAGAAGACAAGCTGCCGGACATCCTGCAGTCAATAATCTACAAGAAGTAAGATTATGTTTAAACTGTTATCACGCAACTACACAGGAACTTAGAAATATTGAAAATGATCCAAATTGCCTAAGACTTAATGTTTTAACACCCCACTCAGTTCGTGGTTGTATAATTTGTAACGCACAAGTAAATGTAAGAAAACTATCGGTAGACTGGTTCTAATAAGATCTAAACTTTAGTTATTTAACAGTACATGTACCTATAAACATATTTATTTTAAAAATTTTAATATAATTAACCTAATGATAAGAATTGAATACCTACATTCGATCGAAAATGTATTCTATATTTTGTTCCTTGATACATAAAAATATAAGAACCTTTTTATATAAAAAAAATATTTTAAAAATACCCAATCTACCTATCAAATGTAATCTAATATTCTGAAATACTATATTAGTCATGAACCAAAATTATTTAAGTACGGTCCCTAGACAGCGGTACAACATAAAGAACGCGGCACCTGCACTTACATCGCTTTGAATTGCCGAAATAGAGAAAAGCGGCCAAATAAAAATAGTCGATACTATATACAGATATAAGGAAAGTATAGGAATCATGATTTTTTTCGACTTCGAGTTTTCGACGGATTTTTACGTTTTGAGGTCCCCTGAATCCGTTTTGACTATTTTCGCGATGATGTCTGTGTGTGTGTGTGTGTCGCATAACTCATGAACGGATACACAGAAAAACACCAAATTTTAAACTTAAGCTTTGTTTCAGCGTCCAATGTGCTGATTAGATTTTGGGCAGTGTCGGAACATCTGGGGGGGTACTTTATAGGTGGTCATTTTTATATTTTATGGAATATATCTGTTATTTATGTTTGGAGAAAAAAATTGTTCAAATAAAAGTTATTTCTAATATTATTATCTATAATTTTTGTTTTATGTCAAAATTTCCTGAAATGGTCCGTATTCGATAAATATGACAAAATGTGCAAAATTCTGATTTTCATGAAAATTGTTGATATCCATCTCTATAATTTTTGTTTTTACATGATTTTTCTAAAATGGACCGTAATGGAAAAATTGTAGGAAAAGTGCTAAATTTAAATTTTTCAGTATTTTCATTTTCAATGAATATCTATAGAAAAATGTTTCGAGGTAGATGTATGTGGAAAATGTATATATTTATTTTATCCTCTAAACATTTATGGAGGTGCTGCAATAGGTTGTACAAAATAACCGGAAAAAGCCTGTAATAACTAGATAGGAAAGTCATGTGTTGGACACATCAGATTTTTTAGTAAAGTTTTATAATATTTCAAGAGCCTAAAAATGTGGTGTAGTTGTTTTTCGAAAAAAGCTTAAAAAACCAAGGTTCTCTGCTGGATTAGTTCGAAGCTAGCAAAGCACCCTGTATTTTTTAAAAATAACAAAATTTTTCCAAAAGTTTTGTAATATTTTAAGAGCCTAAAAATATGGTGTCGGTTTTGGAAAAAAGCTTTAAAAAACTGAGGTATTTGCTGACTTTGTTCGAAGCTAGCAGAGCACCTTGATTTTTGCAAAAAACGAGGAGCATAAAATTTTTGAATAGGGTATAAAAATAGCCTTAAAATAGCCTAAAAATGTGGCATATGTTTCAACTCAAAATTCCCGAGGTGCTTTGCTGCCTTCTTTGGCATCTAAAAGTGAACAGAATATTATGTTAAAAATTACTCAATCTATTCTTTTCTCTAAGTAAAAAATGATTGCCATCCATAGCCCTTACAGTAAGCTGGTCAAATAATGAAACAGGATATCAGGGTGTTCAGACTATTAATATTAATTTATTAACAACCTAGCATTGTGGTGTAATGTAAATTGTATGAATTTGAATTTAAGTAAATGTCATACTAATATAGACTATACTTATTTTATCAATTCATTAGATCTTGAATTGGTGACCCAAATAAAGGACCTTGGCATAATGTTTGATGAAAAACTTACTTTTTCAGAACACATTACAATGATATCATTAAAAGCCAGAAAGTTGTTGGGTTATATACAAAGAATCTCTAATGGTCTCTCAATAAATTCTTTTAAAATTCTTTACTGCACTCTTGTTCGTTCTAATATGGAATATGCAGCTGTTGTCTGGAACCCTTATTTTTGCATTCACATTAATAGACTTGAAACGGTTCAACATAAGTTTCTGAGATGCTCAACATATAAATTAGCAGTGCCTATAAATAATTATGATTATGCTAACCTATGTTCCAGATTAGAAATCACAACTTTGCAGAACAGGAGAACTCAATTAGATCTATGCTTCCTATTCAAACTTTTGTCTGGGTCAATATATTCTCCTGATATTTTATTAAAAATTGGTCTTAAAATTAATAGTGCAACCAGAGCTAATGAAACTTTTTTTATTAGACACCATAGACAAAATTACGGCTTTTATAGTCCATCAACACGATTGGTTAGGAGTGCTAACAGTATAGAAATAGACTTTTTTTTGGTTCCTCATGTCCCTCATTTAAAAGAAGTATTGCTAACCACTTTCTTAATGTACTTGAAAGTACTGTTATTATCTGCCTTTTTAATCAAATGTTTTACATGATACAATTTTTGATGTTATTTTTTATTTTGTATTTGTGCATATAACATATATTTTTTATTGTAAAATGGGGTTTTCCCGTAAATAAATAAATAAGTTGTATAAGAATACGTCTTTTTGAATAGAATTACTTAGTAATGTAATGTTCAGTATAGTAAAATAACACCTACCTTAATACCTAGTAATAGTAACTAGATATCCATAAAATATATATATTAAAAAATTCAAAAAGATATTTGTAATTTGAATACTAGTACTTACATTATTATGCAAAGATAAACAACTTCGTTTTTGCGGTACAGATGTATATTGCCAATCAAAAGGCGTTTGTTGCAGCAGTAATCCAAATGAAGGTATGTCAAGAAGGCTATTTCCATGATTGCCCGCTTCCAATAATAAAACTCTAATTTTTTTATTCTCTGCGAGTCTTCTAGCCACAATAGAACCAGCTGAACCGCAACCGACTTAAAATTGTTTGAAAGTAAGATAGTGTTTAATCTAAATAATTTCAACTTACCTACAATATAATCAAATAAAGTTTCAGGACTATCTACTTCTTGACAATTATAACATAGGAAAAAGTCTGAATATTCCAAATAGCGTATGAAACACCCAAAGAGGAAAATACAAAACGTATACAATAATAATAAAATACTCTGATTGTTGAAAAACATTCTTTTAATATGATAAAATAACTTACATTATTTTGGTAACAAAATAAAATAATTTCTCATATCTTTTAAATAATTTAATTAAAAAATTAAGGTTATCTTTTATGACATGATTGACACAGGGGGTCTATTCTCGACTTCACACGAATTTCAATGGCATAGATATGTGAAGCGAATAACCGCATCACACAACACATAAAAATGTTGAATTCTCGGGGAAAGTGAATTCACGTTAATTCAGACCAACGTTGCCAAATTTATATGATGTATCTGATCTACGTTTTATGTCACTTTTGAACTATTTTGTAGAAATTACGAAATTAGATAGAAATTAACCTCAAATATTTACATGTTGCATCCACAAAGTTTTAATTTTATAGCAAATTATAAAACAAAATCTTTGAAATGAGTGGAAACAGGGCTGGTGCAGTTACCGAATTCCAAAAAACTGTACTGACGGAATATTTAAAAGATCATAGTCAACTATGTTCTAGTAAATTCAGTGATTCTTTTACTCATAAGGAAGCCCAAAATTTATGGATCCGATTAAGTGAAAATTTAAACTCAATTCCAGGTGGTGCCAAAAAGGGGTGGAAACAATGGAGAAGAGTAAGTTTAAAAAAAAGTTTTCTTCACACAGTAGCTTACGTTTTTAATATTTAATATGCTCTAATAAAATATTTTGCTTCATTGAGCCATTTTTACCTAATTAGTGAACCTCGATGGAAAGGTGAATCTTATTTATCAGTCACAGAAAAGTAATTGAACCTTATATTTTTTTAACGTTTTAGACCTGGGCTGATTTGAAACGAATAACAAAAAAAAAGGCTTCCGATACAAAAAAAAAAATGAGACAAACAGGAGGTGGTGAGCCACCAAACGAAATGACGCAAAATGAAAATGTAATTCTTGAATTAATAACACCTAGCTCAACATATGGACATGAAAATATTGAAGAAACTGTTGTACCTTTTGATTTTGAGGTATGTAATGCAGTCCAACATATTCATTAGGTATATTTATACCTCAATTTATACTAATTATGACTGTAATTTCAGAACAATTTAAATCTTATGGACATCAACAAGCCATCAACAAGCAGTGAAATAAACAGTTTAAACATTGGAAATCAGGTATGCTACTAAACTTTTGTCTTAATTTCATGTATTAAAAATAACTTTATAGGAAGAACATGGATATGCATTGAGTGAGCCAGCTGAAACTACATCAGCTATAAATAAAACTACAACTCCTCTTAGAGGAAAAAGGGTAACTGCCAGCAGACGTCACATAACAGCACTTAAATTAAATCAAAATTTGGTAAACTCCATTGATGAAAAAAAAGATATTATGGCAAATTATTATGGAAACAAAATAAAATTCATGCAGTTCAGAAAAGTATATTGCAAAAGAAAACTTAATTTGATGAAAGAAAACAATGAAAATCAAAAAAAGATTTTAACTGCTTTAAGGATTCTTTTGCGAAATACCAGAAGTAACTAGAATGTTTAAAATCCTATTAAAATTAGAGTAGGAAAGTGATTATCAAAAATGTTCCTAGTATTTCTCAAGAGTTTAAATCTTATTTGTTAGTTTAATCAAGGGCTCGTCAAGGGATAAGCATATGACAAGAAGCGACAGGAAAAAGAACCTAGTATTCTAGTATATTCAATTTTTTAGAATGTCATCATACCTACATTATCATCTACCGTACAGGGTGTCCCAAATTGGTATGTTTTGCAAGGTGTAGCGAAAACTGCAGGAGATAGAAATAAAACCGGCCAAGTACGAGTCGGACTCGCACATAAAGGGTTCCGTACGATGGTACAAGTTAATACTATGTAAGGAGGATGCACAGTGGTCCTAGTTAGGCCTAAGTAATGTAGGGCAACCCACCTTTCCCCTTCTAACAGACAGATATAGGTACTTTTTCACAAGTTATTACTATGTAGGAAGGATGCACAATGGCCTTAGTGAGGCCTAAGTACTGCAGGGCAACCCCCTTCTCCTTACAGACAGATACTATGTAGGTACTTTTAAAATACTTTTGTAAAAGAAACAAGTAAGAAAACACGTTTCTAGTAGGGAAGCCCCCCTTTTAAGCCTCCCTTTCTCATTTATTTTGATTATTTGTTGTTATAGCGGCAACAGAAATTTACATTCTGTGAAAATTTCAACTCTACCTAGTACGGTTCATGAGATACATTTCGCTGACAGACAGACGGAGAGACAGCAGAGGGAGGATGCACAATGGTCCTAGTAAGGCCTAAGTACTATAGGGCAACTAATTACACTATCTCTCCTTATATACCCATACTATGCAGGTACTTTTGTACAAATTAATTCTAATTAGGGAGGATGCACAATGGTCCTAGTAAGGCCTAAGTACTGTGGGGCAACCCCATTCCACCTTTTTATAGTCATATACTATGTAGGTACTTTTTAAATACTTTTGTAAAAGAAACAAGTAAGAAAACACGTTTCTAGTAGGGAATCCCCCCTTTTTAAGCCCCCCTTTTAAATTTATTTTAATTTTTATTATTTGTTGTTATAGCGGCAACAGAAATGCACATTCTGTCAAAATTTCAACTCTCTAACAAGTACGGTTCACGAGCTAGAGGTCGCTGACAGACGGACATCGGAGTCATATTAATAGAGTTCCTTTAGTTACCTTTCAGGTACGGAACCCTAAAAAAGGAGTTAAGGTGTCGTGACTTCTTTTTTTAATAAAGTAACGATTGCCTAATCAAACCTTCAATAGGTCCCTTCATTTGCGAGATAGAGGGCGATTATTGGAAACTGTCAAAAACCACAAGACTCTATAACTTCTTTATTAAGAAAAATATTAAAAAACTTTGTGGGAACTTTGATAGATCTATTATAAAAGAAATCAGTGGCGACAAAAATTTTTTTAGGGGATCGCACTATGGAAATATAATACAAACTTATGTTTTTTTTTAATGGGACACCCTGTATATTTTGGCATATTTCGCTTCCATTTATAATTATCTTTCACCTAATATAATATATCACATATATATTTTCAGTGGTAGGAGCTACATTATATTTCCATAGTACGACCCCCTAAAAAAAAATGTTTACGCCACTGACTGAAAATATTAAAAACCTTTTGATAGATATATTATGAAAGAGGTCAGTGGAGTACAATTTTTTTTAGGGGTCGCATAATGTAGCTCCTACCACTGAAAATATATATGTAATATATTTTATCAGGTGAAATATGTCAAAATATACAGGGTGTCCCATTTAAAAAAAACATAAGTTTGTATTATATTTCCATAGTGCGATCCCCTAAAAAAAAAAAAATGTTGTACGCCACTGACTCCTTTTATAATATAGGTATCTATCAAAAGTTCCCATGAAGTTTTTTAATATTTTTCTTAATAAAGAGGTTATAGAACCTTGTGGTTTTTGTCAGTTTCCAATAGTCGCCCTGTATCTCGCAAATAAAGGGACCTATTGAAAGTTTGATTGGGCAATCGTTACTTTAACAAAAAAAGAAGTCATGACATCTTAACTACTTTTTTTCTAAATCCTCTAGTTTTTGCTACACCCTGCAAAACATACCAATTTGGGACACCCTGTACGGTAGATGATAATGTAGGTATGATGACATTCTAAAAAATTGACACCCTATACAGTCCATAAATAAAACTAGTTGCTAGAAGGATCATTAAAATTTATGGGCCCAATAAATTTTGACAGCTGTTTAGACTGAGTAATTCGAAGGTCATGTCATTAAGACACATCATATTCTCAAAAGCGGTCAGTTTATCGGGTCAATAAATTTTAATGATCGTTTTTGCAACCAGCTGTAGCTCTTTAAATTATGTAGATATAAAGGGTAATTTCCAATTTTTGCTTCTATAAACTTGTCGTACTTATTTTTTTTTGTGTAGTTAGTCCTTTAGTTTATGTGCTTTGTTTCAAATAAACGTTTATTTTTTGTTGTATTTCTTAAAAAGTGTTTTTTATTTTCTAAAATATAAGGTGTACACCTATTTTTGACATTTTAACCATTCAAAATAATTAAATTGTTCTTCCCTAGTCAGACACCAAGATGGATTCAGAGTTTATTCTCTCTTTTAAGGAATTCAGTAAGTAAATATGTATAAAATGTGAGTTTATTTAAAGGGTATACTGTCATTAGTAGACACCTTATATTTTATTTATTATTTAACAAATTTATACCTGCAATGAAATAAATGGAAGAATATTTGGAAGAATGGAATTTCAGGCTGAGAGAGGGAAGGCAGCTACAGCTGTAGGAGCTCCCTTAAACAGTGTCAGCTATAGAACGCTTTGCTAATTTCAAACTAAAAACTAGAGTTTAGTATTATTGTGAGCAGGAAGCGGATTATATAAATGTGGCTAGTTTAGATGGCCTGGCCAAGGTTACCATGTAACCGGACTGTCTAAGGCAATATTGATATATAAATAGTTTCATTTACACTAATATGCTAACTCCGTCATTTTCTCTTTGACGTTAGCAAAGCGTATTGGAAAGCGTTTACATATATATAAAATTAAATAAACATGTTTGCATCAAAACATATATTTCATTTTCATTTAACATTAAAAATATGAAATAATAAACAAAAAGTATTAGTTGTTTCTGAAATGATTGTTAATTAAATGTGTTTGTAACATTCTCCCTTGAACTAAATCATTGTTTCTATCATTTGCTTCATCAATAATCACTACATCAACATTTAAACCTTCAACCATATTTTCTTCGATTTCTGGCATGGGAATATTTTCAGTAATGCACATGTTGTGTAATACACAACAAGCATTTATGATTTGCGATGCCTTTATCGGATGGTAATGAAGTACTCGGTCTTTTAAAAGACATCTAAATCTACATTTCAAAACGCCATTCAAACGTTCAATGGCATTTCTTGCTCTCTTATGCACATTTTGAAATCTTTCTTCTGGTGTCCCTGGTTCTGGAACTACCCTTAGTGGTGTCAATAACCAAGGTCTTAAGGGATAACCTGAAAAGTAAGTACCTACAGTTTAGTTTTATAAAATAAAATTTACTAAAAACTTAGTCTACAAATAATAAACATTTTACCTGCATCACCTAACAAGAAGAAATTGTTCCCTGGATATGTTCTATATATTCTTTCCATAATTGTAGATAAATTAGAATTTCGCCATATATGGGCGTCATGTGTGCTACCAGGGAATCTTGAATTTACATGTATTATTTTCAAATTTTCATCACAAGTCTAAAAAAATGTAATATACTTCATAATGCTGAACAGACATGAAACATTAAGAAACAATGAATTTCACATTAGGTTTTATCTACTAATTGAACTAATCAGTTGAGATTGTAATTAAGGATATTTTAGTTTTTGTTATTTTACAAACTTACCAATTGTACATTTATTGAATGATACGCTTTTCTATTGACATATATGTTTTCTGGGTGATCATCATCACCTCTTGGAGGCACAATTGCAACATGGGTACAATCGATACAACCTATGGCACCTGGCATACTAAATTTTCTGTACATTCTAAAAATATCTATATTTGTATTCAAATTAAAGTTATAAAGAATTACTAATTTAATGTTCTTATATATGTATAAATATATATTTCAAAAATTTACCTAGCTCTAATTGCATGCAGCTACTCTAAATTAGATGGGAATTTTATCCACTCATTAAATATTTCAGGCCTATTTAGTGCACTGGTCACTTCTTCAATAGCCCTACTTACACTTGATTGGCTGACCCCAGTATACATATTTGTTCCAGTGATTTCCTGGTAGCTTCCATAACCATAAAATTTTAAAGCTACTAAAACTTTTACTTCTACTGACAAAGCAGTGGGTCTAGTTGGTGGAGTAATAAAGGGTGTCACTAATTGTATTAATGCCCTTGCCAACTCCTTACTTAACCTATAATAAAAAATATTTTATTCTCATGCTCTTATATATATATATATATATCTCTACAAGTGAAACTAATATTTTGATGAGTGGACAGAAACTGTTTTTAAGAATAAAGAAAAAGAATAGATGCGGTAATTCATTATTCGCTGTTCAACAACTAACCACTATTAATGATTAATAAAGTTTATTTTTTTTATTTTTGTTAAGTAAATTTCTATTACCCCTTAGCTAATAGAAAAGACTACAATATTTTTGAAATTGTATTTTAAGAAAAGTATGTATGCCTATTACTTCACTCGTTTTAGGACCAAAAATTCCTAGTTTAGTTCATCAAGTTTATGTTGGAACTGAAAAGGTTCTTACCTGAAATATTTAATGAATTGCCTATTACTTAGTTCCAGAAATGGCTTACCACCTCTTAAGAACCTTCGAGGATTCTGAAGAGCGTCTTCTAACTCTTGCAAGTCATTTATTGCAAAAAGAACTGCAAGCTCATCTTCTTCCATCTCTTGAACTACCTACGCTACCTACTTTAAACGTTTGTAACGATTTTTAATTAAAAATTCAACTTCCAACTATTGAAAACAAAACTTGCCGTTCAGATGACAGTCGAGTCGACATAACCTTTAAAAAAAGGTTTTCACTCAAAATATCCAGAAGGCGGTAAACAGAACATCTCGTGCCGTGACGTCACTCATAATGGGACATGCGCGGACGTGCTGCTAATTGATTTTATGTTATGATTTTAACCTTTCTTTTTACACTTAATTCAATTTTTTTTGTGGAACATAATATATTTTTATTTTAGTGTAGGATAAAGTTTTCTGTTGGATCAGGATAAAAATAGTATGTAAACCTCGGCAGTAAAGTGGTTTTCCAGGCCTCACAGTGTCCTGGCTCGGCTATTATTATTGTGTTCTAGAAAACCCCAATCAATCAAATGTTCACTAGCACTAGCATTCCTATAATTACACAATATTAAATTAAATTCATTATTATGCAGTGCCTATAAAGGATATTTTGGGGAATGTTTTTACAGTTGACAATTTGCAAATTGTTATAAGTGAAATTTAAAATAAGTTCAGTAATGACAAAATACTTTATGTACCTATATAGAAATATTAAAGGAGTCATAAGTTCTTTTTGCCCACTTAAGAAAATTATACCGTCACCTAGGAATAAGAGGTGCAGAAACGTAATATGGAAATACAAATAGTTTTTTCTACTCCTTTACTATAAGTTGTTAAATGCTAATATTATGAAACTGAAAAATTGATCAATAGAAATCTAGATTTTTAAATAACTAAGTAGGCAGACTCAATATTTTCTGTAGAATGTTCGACAGTTTCTACGAGGTTCATGTTTTATGACAGTTTCAATCTTTTCGGTAGTCAAAAATGTAGATAGGTACCTCTCACTTATTTTTAAAAAAATGTCGAGCGACGAACAGTTTTCATGTACACCATCTGAAATCGCTGAAAAGGCCAAAAATGTGTCATCATAGTTATTACATTGGTTATTGTCAAGGACTAAAAATTAAGTCAAAGAACTTACTTTTCTTTCATATTTTATTTCTTATTGTTTGTATAAAAAAGTATTAAAAAATAAAGCAATGTTTTTGAATTGAAATAGTTTTTTGGTTGTAGAAAAAATAGTGTATTCAACTCTCATGTAATGGCTATTAATACATGATCGTTGCATAATATATATACTATTATATTTTTGAGGAATATTTTTATGGAATATGAAAAAAAAACATGCGTTTGTGATATTGTTACATTTATTCAAATAAAAGAAAATTAAGACACTAGCTGAGGTTTCTTATGTATACTGATGATCGTTTTTAGGATTACGAGATACTATAATATCATTATTAAGCATTTCATTTATAATACCTTTTTCTTTTAGTGTGCTTTTGCTTATGTGAGCATTTTTAGTTTTTTGTTTTTTTGTTGAAAAGAATGTTTTTTGTTTTAAAATGTTCTTGTTTCCTGGTTCTTTTTTTATGTCTGAACTGTCTACATTAAATTTATTTAAAGGAATATTACCGATAGCTGATGCAGTCGTTACATGATGAAGAATTGATGTCAGTTGTTCTTTGGATAATTCTTCAGAACTTATGGTCTGTAAAACACTATGTAATTTGGTTCTA